TCTCACACAACTCTTGCTGGCCATTACAAGTCCGTTGATCGCTCGACTTGTTTCGGAGATAGTCGTTTTCGCTGGAAGCGTGCATCGCACGCCCTTGTGCACCGCACCGCAAGTCACCTGCCTGAGCATATACTCAGCAGTCAGCAAAGAGGTAAGCGCAGCCTATAGTCAGCAGTTACAGCAAAGAGTAGGCAGCAATATAGTCCAGCAGTTAGCAGGCAAGAGTCAATCAGCAGCTAGTAGTTAGCAAAAGAGATCAATCACGCAGTTAGTTAATATTAGCCAAGAGAGCTGAAGTAGTATTGCCAGTGTGAGCCTGAATACCGTGATGGCCATCGCGCAGCATGACACGTTATCGCGAGGTGTGTGGGAGTCGTATCTGCTCGCATGTAATGAATGCGCCTGCTACTGCGTGCTTCTACAGCGTGCATGGAGATTTTTTTAGCGTCAGCGGCGCATCGGACACGTCGGCTATGAGCGCTGATGGCGATGGCTGCAAGGAGCCGACCCCGGTAAGTGCCATCTATGAAATTACAGGGCAAACCAACACACAGACACACGCACACCGCACACACACACACACACCACACACACACACACACACACACCCACACGCACTGCACACGCACACACACACACACACACACACAACACGCACACACACACACACACACGCACACGCACACACACACACACACACACCATATATATATATATTCATATATACGAGCGGATTTCCCTTCCAGCAACCCCGCCCCCCCGCCACTCTCACCCCGAACCTGGGCGCAAAGCTCAGTAAAGTCAACTTGGGTTTGCAACAAACGTTTCACGGCATACCAGGCCCTCGGTGTTGCCACTTGGGATATGGGTTTAGCAAGAGCTCTCCACTCTATATCTAAGTTAATCGCCCCACCAAACCAACGAAGCAGCTTAATAGCGGTTAATTAATACGTATATAAATTTATTAAGTATATGAACTACATATATTTTATATGCTATGATATTGATACATGATGGCCCCGACGTTGTTCGCATGTTGTGTTGCCATACAACACACATCATGCCCGCTCGCTGTTTCGAACTATCTTTTACTGCCCCGGATTATCTTGAGGCGGCGCGAACAGTTTTTTAGGCCGCCGAGATTGATCCGTTTTATATATTTGGTAACGGGAAATACCGAAACAAATATTTTCCTGATAGGGATTAGAAGGTCAACGGAGCGCAATAAAGCCGATATCTGGCGATTTTTAATTGAACCGGACCACTTTGAATTTGCTCTTGTTTTTACTTTGGCAGAACTGGGAATGCACCCCACTTGCTTAATTTCCTGTCTACCTTCACTCTGCACCTCTCAGAGACCCGAGAAATGTCGTCACGCGTTTCTCGCATGGATGAGGAGGCGGCGGGTGTGTACGTTGTGTGTGTACGTAGTCCGTGTATTCCGACCCGAGTTATAATCAGGGCGCGGCCGGCGAATAACCGCCGTATATATAGTCTCGGGGCTAACAACGAACGAAGACGGAAAGCCATATATTGTTGACACAGCGAGGCAACTAACCCAGCCCAGCATTGACACATACACATATCCATAATTCGGAATCAAACGAAAATCCATAGTTCACCGAAGGTTCATGATTGCTCTATTATAGAGTATATTCAATACAACTAGATTGCAAAGTATACCACAACCACACTCGGCACACATACATACACCATACACACAGCACACACACACAAACACACAACACACACATACACACACGCAACACAGTACATACACATACACACACATACAACAGCATACACACATTCACACGACACATACACACGCAATACACCACACACACATTACACACACATACACACACATACACACACACACACACACGCGCACACAGAACACACCAGCACACACACACACACACACATACACACGACATTACAAACAAAAATACACACCCACACACTGACACACCACACACACACACACACACCACACACACACACACACACATACTCACACGTATGAACACACACATACATACATACACACGGCCACACATACACACACACTACACACACACACACACACACACACACACACACACACACACACACACACACACACACACACACACACACACACACACACACACACACACACACACACACACACACACACAGCAGCGGTATAGTATGTAGCAGTAGCATAATAACAAATGACACGCCATATTTGCTGTTTCAGAACGAGGCTGCTATGGAACCAATGGCGATCAATCTCGCACACGCATTTCGTCTGCAAACTGGCGACAAGTCGGCTTTCGTTGGACCCTACCTGCCCGCCGCTGCCGTTGCCATGCTGCCGTTAGTCAGCGGCGGCGAGTGGCAGACGATGGACGTGCGTCTTCATAATAACGCACGCAGCCTCGTCGACGACATCTACTCCAGCGCCATCTGCGTCGGCGGCAGCGAGCTGCCTCTCGGCTCGTTTCTGCTCGGAGCCGACGAGCGGAACCTCGAGCGCCTGCAGACGATCCTCGGCGTGTCGCTGACGACCAATCAGCAGCTCGGCTACGCGCTCGTGACAGCGAGGAAACACGCGACGCCAGGCGGCGCCAGCGACGCCGACTCGGCGAGTCTGAAGAGCGACGTGTCGGAGGACAACGCCGACGTGACGTCATCGGATGGTCGCACGGACTCGAGCACGAGCATCAACGCCGACGTCGATACCGTCGGAAGTCTGTTCGTCGGCGACGGTCGGCGCGGCGACGACGCGCTGCCGACGACGTCTCCCGGTCGTCTGCTCGCTGGGCAGCAGCGACGACTCGTTGGTCTGCTCGGTCAGTCCAACATCGACGCACTGAAATCCGTAAGCATGTTCTCCCTGCGTGACGTCATTGACAGAACGAAGCAGCGTGCCGCCGACGTCGTCGTCGCCAAGGACGACTCGTTCCTGCAGGCGACCGCCGCACATGCCGATGACCCGGGCATAGTCGTCGTCGCCGACGGCGGCGCGCGCGAGACGACGACCGCTGAACTGTTCTATAGTTTACCGTGCGACCTACAAGTGGCGCTGCGGAGGCTCGACTTGCTGCCTCCGTGGCGGGGCGAGATGACGCTGGGCGACGCGCTCGCGCACGCCGACGTCATCAACACACACGGCACGCACGTGATGCACGCTGCGCGCTTCGGCGACGTCATCTTTCAGGTGTTCACCTTCGATCCGGAAGCATTCGCACAGATCCGTGAAATCGGATCCGACCTGAGCGTCGACAAGTTCATCATGTTCTCGATCCCAAATCTTGCAGAAGGCTTCGGCTTCGTGCGGGAATACGGGAGGCTGCTGAGCGTCGCCAACGCTCGACAGCTCGCTACCGACGTAGCAGCCGGCAAGTGGAATGATGCGACCATTTCACAGGTCGATAGCATCCTCACTCCCGTCATCGAGGGAAAGAGTCTGCGCAAGTTTCTCGCAAAGTACCGCCAGGCGGCGCTGGTCCGCGCCTCGTACGTGCCGATGGGCGCGTTTGTGAGCGGCGCGCAGGGCGGCTGCTGGGACGTCGTCTGCAGCGTCTATCTCGCCCACTCGCTGCCACCTCGACTCGTCGACTTCTCCCGCGTTAACTTTGCCACGCTTCCGTTTCCGGTGCAGCTACTCTGCGAGACAGCAGCGCTTCCGGTGACGACGCGGTCGGCACGTACTGGCGTGCACGCCGAGTATCTTGTGCTCGGTGATTTTGCAGCAGACGACGGAGTGGCGTCACGTGACGATGAACTGTCACGCGATCAGGACGTCGTCGATGAGCTGATTATCTTCGCGTGCGTTGTCGAAGTGTCCGGTCTCCAAGCTGCGCCTGTCCTGCCCGGTAAAAAGATAACGATAGTGTGTAATTACATTACGGGCTCGACCGATGGTGGCGTCGTACCGCATATTCGCCTCGCCGATGCGACATTGGCAAACTTTCGGCTGCACTGTCCGAACAAGCTAGGCCTGTTCGCCGTGGTCGATAAAAACGACGCGAAAGTGTTTATCAGCGGCGAGGTCGAGCTGTCGACGGTGGCGCCAGCTAGCGCATTAATAACCGAACCATCGGCGCATCGCAACATCGAACCGACGTTACTCGGTGACGTGACGGCTCAACATATCAAGTGGTACCTGCCAAAGGTGGCGCTGCTGTACTATCATGGTAGCGAGGATAGCTTCCGCCTCGCTCAGCGCACTACACAGTGGCTATCCTCGATTGTTGGAGAACACAGAAAACCGTGCGCCGAGGACAGAAAAGCTGTTGACAGCAGTAAAACATACGACAGGGGAATGACAACCAACAACGATAGTACAGATGACAGCAGTATGGCAGACGACAAGGGAATGACAACCAACAACGATTGTACAGATAGCAGTAAAACAGACGACAAGGAAATGACAACCAACAACGATAGTACCGGAAAAAATTGCAAAATAGAAGACGGGGGACTCCCACGCAACAACGGAAGAACGGACGGTAACGGTATAACAGACGCCGACGGCAAATCCGAAGAAGACGATAACAGTAATATAAACAACAACAAAAAAACAAATAATATTGAAATAGCAGACGGCAATGAAACGTCAGACGACAATGTTGAAATATACAAGAACGGAAAAGCAGAAGATGATAACGGTAACAGAAACAACAACAACAACAACAACAACAAAACAGATGATGGGAAAATAGCAGACGACAGAGGAATTTCAGACGACACCAATTCATGCACACATACACGCGTGCTCTCATGCACAGACACGGGCGTGCTCATATGCACATACACGCGCGTGTAGGTGGTACCTGGAAAACCACGCATGTAACCGTATTTGTAACTGTAACGCCAAGGACAATATACTATTAATTTAATTGTGCTCTGTACTGTATAATTTTTCGTAGCAAAGTATGCATCCATGATGTTAGTGTTAGTTAGTTAGATCATCTTGGTTATATATCGCTCTTGGTTATTTTTTACAGCGGTTACGACAATGTGACATTTGAACACGAAGACGAAGGCGCCGCGCCATCTAGCGAACTTGAAAAGCACGATAGTTTTAAGGATCCACCTACAAGATTGTATAGAACGGAGCTGTGATGCAAATAGAACTGTGATCGCATTTACACACACAAAATCGCTGGAAAGTCGTAATTATATAGTGCTAGATATCCAGATTCTTATCGGAAATTAATATAGTTTTGTGATATTTTCTTTATTTTGTAATTCATTTGCGTAGTTATAAGCCTGTGTTCCGCTGTACGATAGCGCTGTGGGACAAGGATGAGATTGAGAGTCGAGTGCGACGACGCACAGAGCGTACGGGGATGACGTTGTGTTGTTGTGCTATCATTGTGTTTTGTTTGACGTGTGTGTCGCGTTGTTATATGCCTAACAGTTATTTCCAATATATGATTTATCATAGATATATATACCAACCAATTGGTTGGTATATATATCTATGGATTTATGTAACTATAAAGTATAACTAAAGCTCTCGTCAAGTCGTTTGACTCGTGAGTTTGTCCCTGGCCCTGAACCATGTACCTGGGAAAGAGAATCCCATGGGATGATCACAAGTTTCAAATTTGTAAGATTATTATATTAAATTATTATATGACAGATAAACCAAATAGTTTTGGTATGGATATTTCTAATAGCCTCAGATAAGCGGTCAGAATAAGCGCTGGCAGCCAGGTTAAACACAGGCGAGCCCATACACACACGCATCCCAGACTTTCCATCTGGCAGTGGTCGTGGCATGACGTGTTTTTGGAAGAGTGATGTCGGGTGATATCAGGATTAGTTGAAATAGTTTCATGAAATAACTCTCTACTAACAAATATAAATGACTACGTATCTCATCGATTGGTAAAATAATTGCTATAGCTAATAAATAGTTCCTTGTAGAGTGCTGTGTACTACAAAACTATAGCTGGGTTTACAAAACTACCGGCAGCCATTTCGTATTTAGAATTTTCTCGCCGGAACTTACACTTGCTCTTTGTTTACACTTGGACCAGAGTCCAGCTTCCAAATTCAGCACAGTGTGAGTGTTATATATTCGCTATAACCACTAACACAGCCTACTATCTCGTCTCTTGCGTGTTACCGGGGCGGCTGCCGGGACGAAGTCTAGTACTAGTACTACTACTAAGTATAGTATTACTCAGTAAATTAATTTAGTAATTACTTCGTTGTGGCGTCTATCTGCACATAAGTACAAAGTTGAAACACCTATAACTAAACAATCTTAACCACAGTCAAGGCCTACCGGACGCTCATTTTATAAGCTCTGTACCGTTCTTCAACTATGAGATACGAAATCCCAGCTCCAAGGACAGCCATCTTGTTTGCTTACATTTAGAACCGTTCCCGCATATGAATTAATCTTAACTGAAGTATTGTCTAAACTCTTGGTAAACCCTCATGTATATATTGAAACTCACAATTCTACTGCTAACTATTGGTCCCAGCCGGAAGCTAGAAGTCTGCTTCTCGTCCTCCAGCTACGAGTCAGCAACCTTGAAGCCTGGAGTTATCACAAACTCCATCATCAGTCAAACACCTATCGCAGCAGTCTGTGTTTTAGGGAAACACTCTCGGGGCCTACCCTCCCCCCCTTTCAGAGGAAAGTTTAATCCTAAACACGCTGAGCAGCTGGCCGTTTTAATTGTAGCACTTCTCTTGGTAGCAGGCGACGTTGAATTAAACCCGGCCAGGACCCAAGAACGTCTCAATATTCCCTTGCGGGTACTGCGAGCGCGCAGTCACTTGGTCGCAGCGTGCGATTTGCTGTGATGATTGTGATATTTGGTACCACAACACGTGCTTAAGTTACTGCTCATCCCACATACGTAGCTTGGAGAAATCGGACGTTTCTTGGATTTGTGCCAAGTGCGACAACCAAAATGTCGCATCATTTACATTTCATTTCTATGAACTTGAGCTATATAACTGCTTCAGTGTTCTTGGATCCGCTACCGATGCAAACATTTTTGTGGCTTCAGCAGATTTTAGTTTCAACTCAATCTTGACTAGTTCGCCACGATCTGAGCAACCCTCCAGTCCCATTGGTACGCCTAGATCGAGAGACCGACACAATAGTACGTCTAATGATGATCACCCCTCTAGAGATACCCTTAGTAAAAATGGCAACAACTGGAGAACTATGGTAGTTAATTGCGAGGGTATTAAAAGCAAAAAAGCCCAGTTTGCTGTCGCAGTTGATTACGTCAAACCAGATGCTATCTTGGGTTGTGAATCAAAACTCAACAGCACAATTCACACGGCAGAAAAGTTCCCCCAGATCATAAGGTGTACAGAAAAAACAGTACGATCCTTGCGGCAACTCAACTACACGCGGGCTATAGTTACTAGAGCTACTGTAGACACACCCGTGTTTATCCAGCGCCGGGCTGTTACTAACGCTCATAGGGTCTATGTCCCCCAGGGTACTGCCGGAACGTACCCTGGGTACGGTCCGGTATACCGGCAGACAGACAACAACGCGTACGTACGAATAGACGACAACAGCAACGGTAAAACAGACGACAACAACGGTAGAACAGACGAACCAATCAACGGTAGAATAGACGACATCAACGGTAAAACAGACGAACAAGCCACACGGTAAAACCAGGACGACAAACGGGGTAGAACAGACGACAACAAACGTAAAACAGACGACAACGACGGTAAAACAGCGACAACGGTAGAAACAGACACAACACTAACGGATAGAAACAGACGACAACAACGGTTAGAATAGACGACAACAACGATACAACAGACGACAACAACGGTAGAATAGACGACAACAACGGTAAAACAGACCGACAAAGCGGTAAAAACAGACGACAACACAACGGTAGAATAGACGACAACAACAGCATACAACAGACGAACAACAACGTAGAATAGACGACAACAACAGGTAAAACAGACAACAACAACGGTAAAACAGACGACAACAACGGTAAGAATAGACGACAACAACGATACAACAGACGACAACAACGGTAGAATTAGACGACAAACGAACGGTAAAACAGACGACAAATAACGATAAAACAGTGACTACAACAACGGTAAAACAGACGAACAAATAGCGGTAGAACAGACGACAAATAACGATAAAACAGACGACAACAAGGTAAAACAGACGACAATAGGGGTAAAGACAGACGACAACAACGGTAGAACAGACGGACGACAACGGTAAAACAACGACAACAACGTAAAACAGACGGACAACAACGGGTTAAGAATAGACGACAACAACCGAGTAAAACAGAACGACAACAGTAACAACTGGACGACAAACAGACGTACAACAACGGTAACAATCAACGCGATGAACGGACAGACGACAACAACGGTAAAACATAAGACGACAACAACGGTAAACAGACGACAAACAACGTAAAACAGGACGACAACAAACGGTAAAAACAGACGACAAACAACGGTAAAACAGACGACGACAACAGTAAAACAACGACAACAACGGTAGAATAAGACCAGACAACACAACTTGTAAAAACAGACGACAATAACGGTAGAATAGACCGACAACAACGGTAAAAACAGACGACCGACATCAACAGTAAAACAGACTGGACAAACGAACGGTAAAAACAGACGACAACAACGGTGAACAGCGGACGACAACAGTAAAAGCAGACAGACAACAACGGAGAATAGACGACAACCGGTAAAGAATAGACGAAACAACAACGGTAAAACAGACGACAATAACGATAAAACAGACGACAACAACGGTCAGAATAGACGACAACAAACGGTAAAACAGAGACGACAACGGAAGACAGACGACAACCAACGGTAGAAATAGACGACACAACGAATACAACAGACGACAAAACGGTAACATACAGACGACAACGCGTAGAACAGACGACAACAACGGTAAAACAGACGAAAATAACGATAATATCAGACGACAACAACGGAGAACAGACGAAAATAACGATAAATCAGACGACAACAACGGTAGAATAGACGACAACAACGGTAAAAACAGACGACAACAGCGGTAAAACAGCAGACGACAACAAGCGGTAAAAACAGACGACAATAACGATAAAACAGACGACAACAACGGTAGAACAGACGACAACAACGGTAAAACAGACGACAATAACGGTAGAATAAACGACGACGACGAAAACGACTACGACGACGACACGT